CATATCCAAGAGGACTCCTCATGCAAGCATGATAACCTCTCTAAATGGATGCATGCCCCTTTGTTCTTCTTTTTTTTTTTTTTCTATTTTTTGGTTCAAACTTCCTAAAATAGGTACTCATCCCCAACTCAAATTCAAGAGAAAGAAAATAGTTAATATAAATAATACTAAATTATAGTCTATCCATAAACCTCTTATAAATCTTGTCTTTATTTTTTTTCTAAGCTGAATTTAGGGTTCCAAACTTCCCCTCTCTCTACCACGCACCTCTCTCTATCTCTTCCATATCATCTCTCTGGGTTTTAGAAGATATATTTTTTTAAAAAAAAATTCAATATTTTATTATGTTTCAAAATAAACAAACTTCTTCTCTCTCCCTCACCTTTCTCTCTCACACCCTTCCTCTCTCTCTCTTTATCTCTCTCTCTATCCTCCTCTCTCCATGACCTCTCTTTCCATAGATTTCTCTTTTTCAAGATTCAATTTCTCAATATCTCATCTAAAAAATTTCCTAAAGAAGGAAAGATATTTTTTCAACATCTTAATTTAGATAAAGATAATAGATTTTCCATAGATTTCTCTTTTTCAAGATTCAATTTCTCAATATCTCATCTAAAAAATTTCCCTAAAAAGGAAAGATAATTTTTCAACATCTTAATTTAGATAAAGATAATAGATTTGGAGGACAAGAATAGAATAATAAATAGATATCAAATTATTTGAAATCTCCTTGCCTTGTGTATCCATAAAATTTCTTTCTATGTCCATAAAAACAATTTCTAAAAATCTCTCCCGCTGATCTTTCGCTTTCTCCCTTGAATATTCTCTCTCTTTCGCTTTCTCCCTTGAATATTCTCTCAGGTATCTCTTCCCCCCCTCTCTCTCTTCCCTAAAATAGGATATTTATCCTACAATCTCTCTCTAGCTCCCCAACATATATCTCTATCTCTCTCCCCACAACATAGGCATCTCTCTCCCCCTCATTCTCTTTTCTCCCCCATTCTCCTTTTTAAAAATAGGGATGTGTCCTACAATCTCTATAGTATTAGGTCATTTCCCCTTTTTTTTTTTTCCTAAAGATGGGGTCGTTTCCTACCATCTCTATAGCATTAGAGTCCCTTTTTATTTTTGTCACATGTGTCTACCCCTTAACGCTTAATAATGTACTATAGATAATTATAGTAATTATATTGATAACCAAATCTTATATTTAGTTTATTAATTTATTTATATTACAAATTATATAATGTATTATTTTTGTTATAGCGGTAAATTACATTTTTCAAATTAGATGATATTACTACAATTTTCAAATTTATTGTTATTTGTATAGTAAAATGATTATAAATTGTAAACCAATAATTCCAATTTCAAATGTATAATATTATAGTTAGTTAGTTACATTGTGATAATTTTTTGGACGAGTAAAGAGAATTAATATGAGAAATAAAATAACATAGTCTCAATATTTTCGATGCAATACTATAATACTATATTATAATTTATAATGGGAAAGCTTTCTATGTTTTCCCTACAACATAAAAGTTCTATCCTCCCCCTACCATCCAGCCGTCTATTTTTTATCAAGAGAACCACTCACTGTTTGATCTTAGATCCAACGTCTTAAAGTATTTTATTTTTAGGTTTTTTAATACAAATTTTTTGAATATAAAATTTGGTACGTGTCATCTTTTCATTGGGGGGCACCTATAAAAAATATTAGCAGTAATTTTTCGATAAAATATAATGACCAAAATACCCTTTGAATCTTTCATAGGTATTTTGGTCATTTTATTTTATTGAAAATATTTTTTTATATTTTTCATTACTACGAGTTTAATAGAGAGATGGACGTCCAAAATTGGGTGTCAAAATAGTTTATAAAAAAATAATTAAAAATAAAATAGTGTAAAGAGGTGACATTGTGAATGGGGCAATCTTAGCCCTCCATTAAAAAATGGACGATTGGATAAAGGAGGCTAAAACTTCTATCTTGCAGGGGGAACATAGAAAGCTTTCCCATTTATAATTATACGGACATCCAAACAATAAAATATCGTATAAATATTCATATTTTTTTACAAATAATGAAACAGCATAATATATACGCCCAATTTAAAAATAAAAAATAAAAGAATAACAAATAAAAACTCAAAAAACACTATTTTAAAATATTTTTATTGATTTTTTAAAATTTTTTGGGCCGTAACTTGCCGATTCTCGAAATTTTGCCCAAGGGAGTTCGGTTAAATTTTGCCTAAGGGAGTAGTGATATCTTTTGGCATGAACGAGTGCATCCTTGTTAGAAACTGGGAATGATTTTGCGTGTCGCTATCCGGATGGGTCACCCACAGATAACCGTTTGATCAGATGGATAATGACGTTGGATAGACCCCAAAAAGCCGTTGGGACCACATATATGACCGTTGGTTTTGCTAACCCTATGAACCCCCCTCTCTCTATCTCTCTCAAACCCTTTCCATTTCTTTCTCTCGCTCTCTCACGAGAGCTGAACTTACGCTCCTGCAACTGCCTGCTCCTCTGCAAGGGAGAGCCTTCTCTCTAACTTTACTCTTTCCTCTATCACCATCTTTAAGAGGCGCCTTTGGGAAAAAGAGGTGGTCTGTGCAACTAGGGCAGAGCATTTCAAGTGGGTTCTCTTTCTCTCTCTAAAATTAGGTTTTAAAGGGGGCCTCTTCCTGTCTCTCTCTCTCTACCGATCTCTCATCCTCTTCCTCAGCAATTCCTAAATCCCTCTTTATTCTCTCTTCTCTCCCATTTCTTCTTGTTTCTTACCCAGTTCTCTCTCTCTTTCCCATCTACCGACCTCACTTCCTCTCCCCCACTAGCCATTTGTTGCTCTCCCCCTCCCCACCCTCTCTCTCTCTACAGTTCCCCTCTTTCTCTCTCTCTTACTCCCCGTTCTCTCCGATCTATGAATTTATCTCTCTCTTTCCCCCTTGTGCCTCCAACGTCTCTCTCCCCCCTTGTGCCTCGAACGTCTCCCTCTAACAGGGTAATTTATTTCTCTCTCTCTAACAGGGTAATTTGTCTGTCTTTCTCTATTCCATCGGTATATTTTTTCTCTCCAAAGATGGGTTCTCTAGCTGGCAATTTGCCAGATGAGCTAGTGGAAGAAATTCTTGAGGTTACCTGCACCTTTTATCCTTAGTTTCAAGAGGGTTTCAAAATCTTGGTATAACCTTCTCTCCTCTCCTAGCTTTCTATGCCTCCACTCTCTCACTCCTCATTCTCTCTCCCAAATCTCTTACGCTCTTCCACCCATCCTCCCACAAAAAGGCTCCTATTTTTACCATCTCCCTCAAACACCATGAAAACATCATGCAACTTTGTGAACTACCCCATAGCTCTTCATCGATATCAAGAAAAATAACTTGCAACAATGGCATACTTTGCATATTAACAAACAGGGGTGCCTTCTAGATTGTCAACCCTGCAACCGGCCAATCCACCCGCCTTCCACATATTCATAGGTTCCGTGTATTACATTTTGGATTCTCTTTCGACCCCCAAAGTTGCAAATTCGAGGTTTTGGCTGTGCTGTCAGAGATCATTATTGGACGATGTTACATGGTCTTTGATTCATCGATTGGAAAATGGGTATTCTTCGATAGAATAGAGCCAAACAAAGCTCTAATCTCCGGCTAGCGAGAACACATATCCATTGGATATACATGTTACATCTACAGCCACTTCAACACCCTAGACCTTATTGGTTTCGACATGGTGAAAAAGGAGGAAGAGATCATACCAACACCACCAGAGTTCCTAAGAGAATCTGCTGATCCTGTTGCGGTGTTGGAATGGGATGGTTGTGTTTCACTTGCAGCCGTCAGCCGTAGTTTGGAGCTGAGGTTGTGGGTTCTAAGAAAAGAGAAGAAATGGGAGAAGGTGGTGGATGCAAAATTAGGGGAGTTGGGGTTTAAAAGTGAAAGTGATAATCGCTATCCATATCCAGAAGTTGTGGTTGGGAAGTATATATTAATGGTTTATAACGATGGGGATAAAGTATGGGATTGAGAGTGGGAGGTTGAATGCCTTGTTACCAAGTGAGGAGGGCTTTTGTCATGGCTATTATCTATCCTACAAACCCACTTTATTCTCTTGGGACTATGATGATGGGAAGAAAGCAAAAGGGAGTGATAAGAAGAGGAGTCTTGTTCAATCATGCCCAAGTGCAAAGAGAAAGAAGACATCTTTCCTCACATAACTCACCATAGCTTTCAACATTGTTTGGTGAGCAGTCCCCATGGTTAGACTCCTAGTTTTGGACACGGTTGGTGGTTGCCATGGTTAACACTCATGTAATATGTTTTCAACATTGCTTGGTGAGGAACCATACAATTTTGAGTTGGTGGGTTTTTTGTAATCCATTTTGAGTTGAATTTGGAGGGGAAACTTTGGCTGTAATTTGTTTCATTATAATTTTAATTGTTGCTTATTTGTCTTATTCTTTTTGCTTATAACCAATTTGTATGTGTGAATGATTCTCGCTCTATATCTGCTCTCTTTTTAGTTTTAAATTTGTTTTGTGACTGTTGGTGCTAATAAAAACGCTTTTGCGCTCTTATCTAGCAGTGAGTATTGATTAGATTAGAAGTAACTCCATATGATACAATAACTACAAGGATTAGGGAAGACTCCTCCCTCTCTATTCTCCCGCCTCCCCCGCAAATGGTCACATTCCAGGTGAATAAAATATATAGAGAGCTCATAGATTAATTTGATCTCGGGACCTCCCAAATGTGACCCCCACAATCAACCAACACTACCATTCCAAAAAAAAAAAAACGAGAAAGAAACAACATGCATAATATTTTTTGAATAAAGCCTTATCAGAATTGATGTTTGCATGGACATATCCCATATTAGCTTTTGGAACATTCATCACTTTCAAAGTACACTTTAAGCACATATTTAAAACACGTGGAGCTCATCATGTCCCATATTAGCTTTTGGAACATTCAGAGTCACTTTCAAAGTAGTGTACACTTTAAGCACATTTAAAACACATGGCGCTCATATTCCTGTTCATGTAAACATTGTTGACTGTACAACACTGGTACGTTCAAATCCAGTTGGGTATTAGATACTTTTTTCCAAAAGGATTTGCAGTGAATCGTCACCATCTGTACCTTCAGTTTCTGGTGGTGGAGATCAGTTCCTTTTTCCCAAGGGGACACGTACATTTTCTCGTAAATGAAAAATGTTACCCACCTGTTAAAGATTTTGAAGAGTATGAATTTGAACAACATGAGATTCAAAAACAGAAAAAATAAAGCTTTTCTTGGGAAATAAATGAAAATTGAAGATGTTCAGATAGTGCTCATGCTTAATCTGGCTGATAATTAACCATAACCTGTAGATGATATAATGCATGTCAAATGTGAAAAGAAAATCATTGGCTGATATTAATACCCAGAGAAAAGAATAGAACAAAAAATAAAACCAGAGGCAAACTAAAATATTCAACTAGTTACATGGAACCATGGGTAAAATCCTGATTAGAAACACATGCAGATAACATACAGAGTACCCAAAAACCCAACATTGTGATTACTCCACTATTATGGCTGACGACTTCAACTTAGAGAGAGAGAGCGAGAGAGAGAGTTATGACAAGCTAGAGTAGAAAAAATTAAAAAAATCATTAATCATGGGAGATTACAAAACAACTATTAATTGCAACATCACAGGGTTTAAACTGGTTTATGGGAGTTACAATTGATTAGATCTCAAAAGGAGAGAAACCATGACATCAGCAGCTTGAGGGTCACTATTATTTACACTTGGGATGATGTTTACAGGAGAAACCAAGCTCACAAACTCCCTCAAACTCTGTAAAACTGCAATGCTCACTGTGCAGGACTTCATACCTGCATTGAGCGTAAGAATAAAATTGAAGTCATACACTGACACTAAACTTGATACTCATGCAATAACTGAAATCTAAGCATTAATGGTTTCCAATAGAAAGTCACCTGGACATTATCCATGCACGATTTGAACCCCAAAGTGAAAAAAACAAGAACTCTCAATCTTAAATTTATTTTTGAGAATCTAAAGTAATTTCTGATAATCGAAGGTACTTTTTGTGAATTGAAAAAGTTTTTTTTTCTCATTGAAATTATTTTTGGGGTGCTATTGGTGGTATTATAAGACTTTTGAGTTGATTCGTAGCTCGATTGAGGTAACCAACATCGAAGATCAGAGATTGAAAAGAAAATATCAATTTATAATCTTTATTTAAGTTTTATTTTTCCAATTTGAGATGTCTTCTACGGGGTCTACTTGGGGTGGAGATCCGGGATAGAAATATTGTGCTAACCCTGATAAGAATGACAAAAATAAAATTATGTGCAATTTCTGTAGACATGTTTCTAATGCCAGTATAAATAGATTTAAGAAACATCTTGTCGATATTAGAGGTGGTGTTGCCTCATGTAAGAAAGTCTCAGATCTTGTAAAGAAAGAAATTTTGGAATACATTGAAGTTGAAAAGGGTAAAAAAATTGCAAAAAAAAAAGATATAGCAGAATTAAAGTTAGAGGTCTATATTTTTTTATGATAATATTGACACTGAAAAAGATGAAGAAGATGGGGAAGAAGAGCTAGCCATGGTTGGTACTCAGAGCTCTAAGACCAAGAGGGCTTTTGGGTCTAAGAAGGCTCGTACGAGAGGGCCTATAGATAGTTTCTTTACACCTAGCCCTGAGACTGTAATTGAGAAAAGTAAGGGACGAAAGGGGAAAAAACAAGTGACAATTGAAAATAGGTTTAAGAAGGAAGATAGAGCCAGGGTGATTCGGTATATTGCTCGATAGTTTTACCATGTGGGCATTTCTTTTAACACTGCTTGCTTGAATAGCTTCCATACAATGTTAGAAGCAATTGGGCAATTTGGGCCAGGTTTGAAAGTTCCAACTCCTTATGAGATTGGAGAACCACTACTAAAGAAAAAATCAAGCACACTAACGAATATCTCAAGACTCGTAAGGAGGGATGGACTAAATTTGTGGTTTCTTTAATAATAGATATGTAGAGTGATTGGAGGAGTAGCATGAATTTGTTAGTAAATTGTCCCACGGGTACAGTTTTTTTGCGCTCAATCGATAAGGGTATTGAGGAGGTTGGGGAGGAACTTGTAATACAAGTGGCCACAGATAATGCTACTCCCAATCTAGCTGTAGGTCATTTGCTTCGACAGAAGATGCCTCACATATTTTGGACTCCTTGCGCTGCACATTGTGTAGATTTTATGCTTGAGGTAATTGGTGAATTGCCTATTATTAAAAGAATTATTTTTAAGGCTAAAGAGATTACAATCTTCATATATACAGTTACATACTTACCATTAGCATGATGCGCAAGTTTAAAAAAAAAAAGAGCTAGTGAGGACTGGGGTTAGTAGATTTGCCACTGCCTACCTTAGTCTACAAAGCATGTATAAGAGGAGAATCGCATTAAGGTCTATGTTTGCTTCAGAGGAGTGGAGTAGGTGTAAGAGGTCTAAAGATGCTAAGAGAAAGAAAGCACGAGATAGTGTTTCGAAATAACTTTGGCGTGGGGTGAAGCATGCAATATTAGTATTTCTTCCCTTGGTGAAGGTCTTGCACTTAGTTGATGCTGATAAGCCCTCCATGGGCTTTATATATGATGCAATGGAAAGGGTTAAGAATGAGATTGCAGAGAATTTGGGCAATGATGCCGCGAAGTATAGATGACAAATGGGATAGGCAGCTTCAAAGACCATTGCATGCAGTAGGGTACTACTTGAACCTCAAATTCTTTTATGTAGATGCAGATATTGAGTCAAAAGGGGTAATTATCGATGGTTTTAATGAGTGCCTTGAGAAATTATGGATGGTTTTAATTTTTCCTTATAGGTGCATACAAAGAGAAGAAATAGGCTTGAGCAAAAGAAGCTCAATGACTTAGTTTTTGTTAGAGAGAATTAAAGGCTCAAGGAGAAGAAAAACCAACCAAAGAAGGACCCTATCTCTTCGAAAGACATGGAGAATGCTTCAGATTTAGCTAGTTAGTGACCCTGGCACTGAGGAGGTCTTCCCTGGGGAGGGTTTGGAAATGGTCAAGGAGGCTTCGGGGCAAGCTTCTGATCCTTGGAGGGCCACTCGAGCAACTTCTTTTGTTGGTACTTCACGGAGGGAGATAGAGGAAGAGGAGAAAAATTCAGAAGTATCTCTGGAAGAAGAGGAATATGTTGAAGAGGGAGATGATTATGATGATGACGGCCTCAATTCTGATGCACATGAAAACAATGAAGATGATGACTCTAACTCTTATTGATGTCTTGATTGTCTTTTCTCTTCTTTTGTAGTAACGTTTTTGCACCATCTTGATTTGAGCTTTAGACATTTGGACGATTTTTATTTAGTTATGTCGTTTGTAATTTTTTTGCCTTTTTGGACTATTTCGTTGTGTGGTTTACTGGTTTTTTATAGTTTTGGAAGTCAGTTTGTTGAAGAGTTGGAAACTTGGATGTTATTACGATTTATTTTATAGATATGGAATATGGAGAATATACAAGTAGGAGATCTTACAATAGCCTATTAGACTTTTAAATGTTTTGTATGGTTTGAAATTTTGAGTAAGTTTATTCTCAACCTGAGTACCTGAGAGGCTAAGACATGTGATATGTTTGCATATAAAAACATATGTTGCGAACTTGAGATATTTTCAAATGGAATAATTTACAAAATTTGACGCAAATATATGCATATATGTGCATTTGGATAGCAAATACATAAAAAAGACTAAGATTTTGCACCACATGGTGTCGGAGGTTTTGGGCGCTCGCCTAGGCGTTGGGCGCCAGGCAGGCCGTCTAGGGGCCACCTAGCGTCTTTTGAAACCTTGATAATTACCTATGACTGCCACATACTTCCACAATGGAGTGGAAGTAGGCTCTTCGACTTCTTCATCATCTTCCAACACCACAGTCGCATTATCAGACCCAAAAAAATCAGCATACCCAATTTCCTCCTCCATACCAATGCCGAAATACAAAATAACGTCTGAAAACAAGTTTAGAGGTAGAATTAGTTTAAGTATGATGCGTTATAGAAATCGACCAAAAAAAAAAAAACAAGTAATTTGCATTCTTTTATCTTTGCACAACCCCATTCGCAATCCAATCTCAATCAAAATCCAATTAGAAATCATATAACAAAAAGAAGTAGCTCCTCTTGGATCGATCTCTCTCTCTCACTCTCTCATCTACCCACTTCCCACTTCCCCGACCCCAATTTGGATCTCTCTCTCCCTCGCTCTCCCCCACATATCCCTTCTCTCGGATCAAATTTGGATCTCCTCTATTCATACATAAACAGGGAGTTCAAACTTCAAATCATTCATGAAAAATGTAAAGAATTAGTTCCATGAGTGATGAAACAAAAAAAAATGTAATCTATATTAATTGATAACATCATCATAAAAAAATACTGATGACATTACTTGCAATTTAAGCCACAGTAAAGTAAATCATGTTGATGGCATTATATGCAATTCAAACCATAGTAAAATAAGTCATGCATGTGCAAACCATAAAAGAGAGTCTAAGTCATGCACGTGCAATTGCAAACCATAAGAGATAAGAGAGAGTCTGATATAAAGAGAAAGGGGGTGAAAAGATGTCTATCGGGTCAAAAACTCCCATACACCATACAAAAAAATCCATAAATAGGATCCATTGTCTATCGAGCCCAAGAAGCTACACCATAGCTCAAAGAAAGCCCAAAAGAGGAGGCCAAGGGGAATGACATGAACTGAGAGTAGAGCAAGAAAAACCCCACAGTTCATGAATGACGCTAAAAAAACCCAAAATACCCAATCACTGGTCAAAGGTTCAAGATAGCCAAAAATCATGCCTAAGGCCATATACTATCCAAATTTCAACCTATGACACTAAAACAAGACATGAAGTCATAAACCAAGCACCCGCACTGCCCACCCAAAAAAAAGGCCCAAAAGAAGAATAACACAAGCTTAACCCATCCAAAAACGCCCTTCAACATTGAAAGCTTAAGAAAAATATGGGCTACATGGCAAAAATAGAAAGGGGCTAGTAGGTACGACCTACTGATCCTCTTCCATAAACCTATGGATGGCTGCGCTTGTTTCCCCTAGCCCATTAAAGAGCAGTTGTGGATAAACGAGCATTGGACTCGTGTGATCAACAATAAAGCGCGAAGAAATATCGACTTGGGCCCAACGAGCAGCTCAAAATGAAGACGTGAGCTATTCTAACTGGGAGGTGAGGCTTAAAACCTCATGCTTTAATAGTGATATCTCTTCATTGGCCCATTGGATGTTAGCAACTTCCTACACTAGCCTAACACTTAAGTTGCTATTTTCAGACATAAGACTCTCCTCGGGGGTTGGGTCAAACCCTACAACTTTAGCATGGATGTAGGCTTCTCTGGCAGCAGATTGCTCTGCCGTCTTTCGTGTAAAACATTGGCCACCACTAAAGGTGTGCCCCTGTACAACTATCGAAGCCCTAAAGATAAAGCACTGAGGGGTCCCAAAAATTTCTACACTATAGACTGAGAGAGAGGGGTCCTCCTCATTTTGGGTTTCTTCTTGTAAGAGATTTTTGATGATGCATCATCCAAATTGGCTATGTGGATTGGTTTTGAACATAGTTGTTGGAAACGCCTGGGAACCCGAAACGTGTTAGGAACCGAAATCTTGGATTCGCAATTGGCTAGAAGATTCCTGTCTTAGGAATCGTTGTCCATACTATAGGAATGGCTAGGAACGAGATTCCTAGTTTTTCATAATCGTGTTTCGACCGAAATAGATCCAAGTTTCATCCACCTATGGAATCGAAATTTTGTCCTCCTTCGAATCGGGATTCCCATCCCCCAGGAATCGAAACTCTAAGAGTCAAGATTCTTTAATATGCGGAATCGAGTTTCCGACATCTATGGAATCGAGTTTCTAACATATGTGGAACATAGAGATGTTGTTTTGAATCGTAATCCTAACGTATCGGAATCAAGTTTTTAAAGTATATAAATCAGAGATCCATGCCAGTTTGAGATTCAGATTTACAATAATATGGACTATGGAATGCGTTTGACGACCCCTACTAGGAATCAAGATTTCATTTTTATGGAGAAGGAAGCCACAAGCACATCTTGAGCCTCTTCAACTTCAGAACCTATAATGGATGTTTCTTATTAGAAGGTTTGCCAAATTTTAAAGTGATTATGTTAACTATTGAACTTATGGTCATTATATACAAAAAACAAGTATTCCTAAATTGTGATTTTGACTTCATTATTATAAAGACAAAATAGGATAATGTCTACTCCATGACTTTACTTTTAATTGTATGCGGTGTATTTACTAATTATATTTTAAATTTAAAGTAAAGGCCATCCAGGGTGGCACAAGTAAAATAATGAAACCTTGCAACCACTAGAAGCATTCGAAAGAAGATTTCTACTCCCATTGACATGGAATTAAGATTTAATCCTCGCTAGAATCCAGATTCGATATATTTGGGAACGTCCACCCGCAATTAATGGGTTCAAGTATTCAAAGATGTGTTGGATCGAGATTTCGAAATTAAGGAATCGAGTTTCCTTGGTTCCGATAAATGGTTTCTAAAGATGTATTGAATCGAGATTCTGAAATTAAGGAATCGAGTTTTTCGGTTCCAAAAAAAAGTTTCTAAAGATGTGTCGAATTGAGATTCCGAAACTAAGGAATCGAGTTTCTTTGGTTTTGAAAAACGGTTTCCGTGGAGATTCCTTAATGGAAACGCGGAATCGGGTTTCAGAACCGAAAACGCGAGGTCAGTGGAGAGATTCCAGTAACTATGGGTTTGAATGATAGGGGTAAACAATGTCATGTGTATTTTGTTTTATAGAGTGAGAAAAATCCTTAATGGCTCTGTGGAATGGTTTTTATTAAGAGAAAAATAACTGTGGTAGGGGTAAACAATATACTGTGTTTTAACATTTTTTGAGTGAAGGAAATCCTTAATGGCTCTTTGGTAAGGTTCATGTGTATATAGTTTTTTAGAGTGCGAGAAATCCTTAATGGCAATGTGGTAAGGCTCTATGGTATGGTTTAGTTTTTTTACGACTGAACAATATTTGTTGGGGATGGAATCAAAACGTTGAACAATTATTATAGGTTAAAATTAATCTTATTTGTAGCTTGCAGTTGTACCATGACAATCAAGATAACATTCTCGAGGTATGTGTGCATGAATTCTCTTAAGAGGAACCATTCGGAAAATGCTCGTTTGCAAGTGTCATCCCCTTATGATGAACCACCCTTATGATGAAGAACCATAGGCAACAGGTCCCTTGTTTTTCGATTTAATGTTATTCTTTGCCTTGTGATGTTTTCTGACTTTTGTGCAACACTAGAATATGGAAATTCCCACAAATGATGGACATCCTTCATGAGTGAAAAAGGCTGAGGACCTCATTCAAAAAACTGAGGTCTATATTTTGAGGTTTGATCGTTACTTGGCCGATCTCATGGGCCTCTAGGAAACGTTTGAACGCCTCAATCGTCATCTTGACGAGGACAATGAGCGCCTCAGTCGGCGTTTAAATGCATTTAGTGTGAGGCTTGATAAGAACGAGGTAGAAGTGCAGACTGTTGTGCGTGGTGCTGAGGTTCTAGAGGATTCAATTGAGGAGCTCCGCTCCTCTTTTTACCAACACTAGCGGGTTTTACAAACACTCTTAGCTATGTAGTCCTCAATTTTCACTTGAGGACTAGGATTGTTTTATTAATGTGCTCTGCTTGTTATTGTTTCTTAGTAACTCAGAGAGTGAGACCTTGATTTATAATTCTATCTTTAATATGTTGGTTTGTTAGTATTTTATGTCTTGTTGGCTTGTTAGTATTATATGTGTTTGGATTGATAGCATTTTATTGGGATTCATGTATGGTGTATTGGACCTTGTTGTATATGCGTTTAATTGCAATTGCAAGTATCCCCAAAGGTATTTCCATGCACAAGCATATATCACAGAGTATTTATCATTCTTTAGTTACTCATTATATAGAAGCCTATTGTTTTTGGCCCTTCTTTTTTGTAAGTACATATGGAAATTCTTCGAAACCTGGCCTTGTCCATCGGACCGTAACGTCCTCGCCACAGGTCACGCTCATCATGCGAACCCTGCCCAATTCCACCCAATTTGGATGATGCATAATTCAAAAGTCTCTTATAAGAAGAAACCCAAAATGAGGAGGACCCCCCTCTCCCAGTTTATAACGTAGAAAGTTTTGGGACCCCTCAGTGTCATATCTTTAGGGTTTCGATAGTTGTACGGGGCTGCACCTTTAGTGGTGGCCAATGCTTTACACGAAAGGCGGCAGAGCAATCTGCTGCCAAAGAAGCCTACATCCATGCTAAAGTTGTAGGGTTTGACCCAACCCCCGATGAGAGTCTTATTTTTCGAAAATAGCAACTTAAGTGCTAGGCTAGTGCAAGAAGTTGCTAACATCCAACGGGCCAACAAAGAGATATTGTTATTAAAGCATGAGGTTTTAAGCCTCACATCCCAGTTAGAGCAACTCACATCTTCATTCTAAGCTGCTCGTTGGGCCCAAGTCGATATTTCTTTGCGCTTTATTGTTGATCACACAAGTCCAATGCTCGTTTATCCCCAACCGCTCCTTAGTGGGCAAGGGAAACAAGCGAAGCCGTCCATAGGTTTATGGAAGAGAATCCGTAGGTCGTACCTACTAGCCCTTTTCTATTTTTGCCATGTAGCCTATATTTGTCTTAGGCTTTCAATATTGAAGGGCGTTTTTGGATGGGTTCAACTTGTGTTATTCTTCTTTTGGGCCTTGTTTCTTGGGTGGGCAACGCGGGTGCTTGGTTCATGACTTCATGTCTTGTTTTAGTGCCTTAGGTTGAAATTTCGATATTGTATAGCCTTAGGCATGATTTTGGCTGTCTTGAACCTTTGACCAATGATTGGGTATTTTTTAGCGCCATTCATGAATTGTGGGATTTTTCTTGCTCTACTCTCAG